AAATAAAATTTGCATTGATTGATGAGCAGCATTTTAACGAATAAAATGCACCTGTCTTTGACTCCGTGCAATTCTTCAATGGCGAGATATTCGTATCTCGCCAATTTTTTTTCCCGTGTTCCATTTACTCCATGAGCCACTGTATCTTCATTTAAGTGGGATCTCTGGATTTTGTGATATTGGTTTCAAAGTGACGGTTTCGTTTTTGGTATTTGTTGTAGGGGTGTGTAATTCACGGATCTTCTTCATTGGATTGCTCGGAAACGTACGATTCAGGGGTACAAAAACATCGTCTTTGTCAGTGTGACAAATTCATTTGGAAATATTCCATAAAATTAGAGTCGTTTTATCCCAGCAAATTCGAAGAAATTGTCTTAAAATAACAATAGGTGGATCGAGCCTTATGAAAATGTTTAGGAGGATATACGGAAATGCAAATGTAGCAGATTTTTTCCAGTTTTAACGTTAATTTTAAACAATGTTTAGTATAATTATATTCCCAATAATCGATGTTCGTATCATATTCTGAGTTGGATTACTGTTTGGCTATTAGCAAATAAGGATGTCATTTTGTACAAGGAAGATGTTAGCAACGTGCGTATACTTTTTTTGTTGTTGCTTACTTTTTCACATGTTTTAGGGTTCGCTCTTCTACAAAATTGCCGAAGAACGCGCAAAAAATCGAAATCCTCATTCAGCGGTCGCTATTAAGAATCAATGGCTCGTGGAAAACAAAGGAATAAATGAACCATAGAATCATATGCTGACCTGAGTTTCTAACAAAGATATTAATGGAATGACATAACAATTATTTGTATTTGAGCATACGTATGTGTATTAATAAACGACAATATACTTATAAACAAATTCGCACAATCTCTTAACATTTTATTAGAGATTGACAAGAGCAGGAAAAGTTTAAGTTGACAATAGAAAAATTCGTTCAAATATTTGAATTTGATTAATAATACTACTATATGCCCTGGAAATTTTCTTCAGCAAATCTGCTTCGATTTTCGACACTATCGAATTGCCTCGAGTATATCTAATTATTTTTTATACCGTATTTTGCCGTACCATTATACAAGTATAATTAGATATATCACAATTATTGCTACACGTAATTAAACTAAGTTGCAATTAAACCAATAGAATCTTTGCATATGATTAAACCAGTTTGTATTCCGGTTTCATGACATGACTTCAATAAACGGCTTGGAAGTCGTGACCAAGTCAAATTCTGATCATAGATTCCGGCGCCCAAATTTCATTTCCCTTATTATTATTCCTATTATTAATCCGAGTTCTCCACTTTATTTCACATGCATACTTTCATTTTTTATTGCCAGATTATGTTCCATTATTTTGAGGAATAATACTACATGTTACTAAACAAATTGCAATGTGGAAGAAGTTTAAAAAGTGTAATTTTGCACAAATCACGAATATTTCGGCTCACAGTAATCGAATCGAACAATCCTGATACTGCTCGATTCAGCATATGAGAAGAATCGATTGATATCTAAATTATTTACTGTGTCGAAATATTGCGCTCGAAAGCCAAACGTTTACTTGTTTAAATAATTTTTTAGAAACGATATCTTGGTATCTAGCAGATTAAACAGATTTAATCGCTCTTGTTTTGAGAATAGAACGATATCGATTTGGTCCACTAGATGACTCGAAATTCGCATTTCGTGAAATAATGGCTGCATTTCTAAAAACGAATAGAGGCATTCGGAAGCGATATCTTGCCAATATTATACGATTTCGACCCCATTTGATGTGAGAAATAAAATGTCATCAAAATCAAATTATACACATTTCGGCAGATATTATATACATGTACAAACACGCACCTACGTACATCTACATGCACTTGAAGTGTTCACAAATTCTTATTATTATATCAATTTTTTTGTCGTTTGGTTACGTTAACGACTTAACGACTTTTAGTGGCTCATTGAAAGATATTTTAAATAATAATCTAATCTACGAGTTTCCTGTATTAAGAATAATATACCAATTTAGAATTATAACAAAATAATGTGCTTTTAAAAGTTGGAACAAAAACACTGAAATATTACAAGTTGTATCAATTTGATTTAAGAATTTACAAATAATTAATGGAACTAATCATTATATGAAACTGACGATTCATTTGTGTGTATGATTATTATACTTATAATTAAATCGGTATTTGACATCTATTTTTCCAGCTTTACATGAATGAATATCTTTTTGGATACCCTTTCCATTTAAACAACAACATATTAACCCGACTTGAAATCCATCCCCAAATTTCGAATTACACTTGTACGCTTTAGCTATATCTTTCCTACACCCAATTGAATATTGATAACAAGTTCCCAGATGATAATATGCTATAAAGTTATTAGACTTCACTTATTGATGATACAATTGAAACGTCCTTTCATTATCAAGTACGTGCCAACGCACGTAACGATATGAAATCGCCAAAAGAAATCGAGCATACTTCTCGTTTTGATCTGCCGATTGGTGAATCAATTTGTGCATACCGATACTGTTTTTTTTTCGTTCTAGATATGTTTCTAATCGATTTTTATTTGTAAGGTTACGATCAGATAAATAGTTTTGTTCCAAATAATTTAAGTTTTTTCACAATATCTGAATTTTCTTGATTAATTGGAATTTTAAAAAGCTGAACCAATCCTAGATATATTTCGGAATAATATTAGCTTTTGTTTATATATTATTTTTAATTTTTAAAATTTACCTGTAATAATTGTACCTTCATTTTTATTTTTGGCTATTAGTATAAGGAAAGAGAATTTTAGCAACGAACAAGATAAGCTGAAAAATAATATGAAATACAAATGATAGATGTACATATTTGAATCGTCATCAAAAGTTTTTCGTTAGTAAATGCATTTATATGCGGTATTGTGCACAAAAGTACATCTAAAAATAAGATGAACGAAAATCTCCGCACACATGTAGAATTTGAGGGGTCGTTGTATGAGTTTATGTACATATAACTTCAAATTCATGTAACCATTCGAATTTACGAATTGGGATAATATGTGTAAATAAATAAAAATGACATATCTATGATATTGGATTAAAATAAGATTATGTCAAACTCAATAATGAACAGGCAAATATATTTTAAATTATGAAAAAGAAATAGTAGAAATCTCATTTTCCTAAAGATCAAAATAAAGAATATTTATAAATTGATAAAGAATCTCACGAAATGAACTTTGAAGAAACACTATCTTCATCAATTATGTCAATTCGAGTTCTTAATATATTCACTTGATATTATATTTTTATACAGATCAAAAATTCAAAATAATCTTGATTCATATTTAACTTATGATGTCGAAATTTATGCAATCAATGCATATATTATAGTATATTTTTGATCACATTAAGGAATATAATTATGGTTAACATTAATGTTAAAATTGATTATTGTAATCACCGACATAGTCACGTCTTATAAAGTAAATTCAAAGATGGAACCAGATACTCATCAGTTAGCAATCTCATGATTGTAATAAAATGTATTGTCTGCCAAAAAATGAATGCTGCGTTGATTAGTTTAAAATATCACAAACGTGCTTATAAATTTTGATGAATAGTCTAGCACTAACGGAAATAAAGATATCAAGAATCAAATAAAAGAATATGAGTTAAACATCGAAAATCTTTTGAACGGATTCCTTTTAAAGATTCATCAATTCTAAATATCTTGCAAAAGACAGTTTTAGAACGATTTATAAAGCAGCTTGGTTTGGACAGACCATCAACTCAGGAATCATGGAGAGCATAAATTTAAACAAAGAGAACTGTTTTAAAATCATACACAATCAAGCAAATAACTATTGGTGACATTTATAAAGAGCAAAAAATGAAGAGTTTCTAAAGTCGAAATTTTTAATAACAATAATTCTCAAAGTTTAATTTGTTTCTCTTCATAATATGCTCATTTTGGCACACATACTTATTGAATTTAATATTTTGAAATTTTGCTAATCTCAAAAACTTTTTAAGAGATTCTAGTTATTTATAGAAATTTTCTTGGCAATATTCTGCTATTTGTGTCAAGAAAATTCTGGAAAACATGCTAAATTTACTAAAATAGTTCTATTTTGTGTAATTAAGATTTAATAAACTTAGTCACTAATATGAAATTGAGAAATAATGAATAGTAAAAAGAGCTTCTTAAAATAAATATTATAATAACTTCGTTGTCACCAAATTAGTAGTAAAGTGCCTTGTCGTATCTCTACTAGTTCATATTTTTCTTGAATCTATATTTATGCATATATCGTAAACTCTCAAAGTCGACTGGCTTAGTATTATAATTAGAGATTGGAACCGTGAGCAAAAACTCCATCCGTTATTTGAAATTGAATATCCGGATGAATTCGGATGAATTTAGATTAAATTTTTCATCCGTTCGCCTTTGCTTTTTAATAGTTTCATTAATAAAAGTAAAAGTTTCGACCTCGGCTTAATCTTCAAAAAACACAACAGGTGTTTCATCTATATTTATTCATATTGCTTTAATACATGTGTATGTATCTTGTTGAAAAGACTAAATTAGATCATATAAATCGAATTAATTTATCTAATTTACCAATTCGTTAATCCAGTTGTAAAAATTTAAACCTTTCTAAGCTCCATTCTTTAATCAAAAACTTCTCTTAGAGTCTAATACTAGGCCATTCTAATTTAGAGTGGTTAGTATTAGGCTCTAAGAGACGTTTTTGATCAAAGAATGGTGTGTATTACATGTATATGCATGTAATTCAAAATCGGTAATTAATTTCAGATTTGAGGATCTATGAAATTTTCTGTAATATATAGTAAACCAGAAATTTTTTGACTCGGGGTTAGCTTGTTTGAACATTCTCGAAGTATATAAATTTGTAAGTGTAGCAAGAATCCAATTTCTTTTTGCATATAATCACTCGCTTAAAATATCTTAATACTACTCTTAATTTACCATGCACGCTTTGCATATATTTACACTCGCAATAGCAGTTTTTCTAATTGTTGATGCGTTACCTTATGAACAATCTAAAGTGTATACAATTCCGCTAAAGAAGAAAACAATCACTCGTCGGAGGGCGCTTAGGCGAGATGTCGGAAACGTGGAAGTATCGCAACAACCACCGGACATTGCATATTTTGGAGAAGTTACTTTCGGCGACACACAGACCTTTGATATACAATTCGATACGGGATCAGCCGATTTTTTTGTTACTTCTATAGACTGTAACTCACCTGCATGCGAAGTCAAAAACAAATATGATCCAAATGAAGATGCATCATTCGTAGATATTGACAAAACTTTCAGTGTCGATTACGATAGAGGAAGCGCATCAGGACAGACATCAGGCACGACCTCGATCAAAATCGGTGATTTTACGGTAGAAGCACAAGAGTTCGGATTGGCTGACACGCTTTCCGATGATTTTACTCGCGACGAATACGATGGTATAATGGGGATGGCGCTTAGCTCAGCAAGTGAAAATGGTCAACTCACACCAATAACGAACCTTATAAATAATAATAATCTCGATCAACCACAATTCGCTTTTAAGCTTGGGAGAGATGCAGATGGTACGGAAAGCGAATTAACAATCGGCGGGATTAATCAAGCAAGACTCAATGGTCAACTTACCTGGTCAAATCTAGCAGATAATAATCGTGGTCACTGGCTGATTCCTCTTGATGACTGCTTTGTCGATGGCCAAGCATTGAATTTCCAAGGTCGTAATGCAAACATCGATACTGGAACCACATTAATGATTGTGCCAATTGCTGATGCCCGGCAAATTTATGCTCAAATTACCGAAGCCGAAGAGCAAGATAACGGGCGCTTCTCTTTGCCTTGTGAAAACGAAAACATAATTGGTCTGAGAATCAATGGTGTGACCTGGAATATGGACTTTAGAGATTTTGTAACCGAAGACGGAGATGAATGTTTTGGCGCGATAGAGGGAGACGATACAGGTATTTATACTACTGTTTAATGTATTTATGATCGAAATGTTTAATAAAGATGATACTCTTTCACACTCCTTTAGGATCAGACACCGAATGGGTTGTTGGCGCTGCCTTCTTAAAGAATGTATACAGCGTTTTTGATCAAGGCAATCTACAGGTTGGATTTGGTCAATTAGCCTAACCATTATCATAGTTTGAAATTAAATTTCTTACATTAATATTCATTATATGTCATAAAAAATATTAATACATGCCTGAGACTATTTATATAATAAAATTAAAAAATTGACCAGTAGTGTACTCAGTACAGTTTTCCATCATCTAACTGATCAATTTTGTCATTTTATGCACCATGACAATTATTTTTCATGTTGGGATTCTGTAAGTGGTTTTGGTGCAGAAACTCATGAATCAATCCCCATTTAATGAAGATTTCTACAGATGGTTACAGCTGAAATTTGTTTGTCTGAGCTATTAAAATTTGATCGAGAAAGTCAATTATTTTTTTTAAAAATCTTTGAAAGTTTATAATGATTATCATTCATTGTTCATGGAACACGGTCTTTCACCGTTAATCCAGTGTTAGAATTTTTGTATCGAGAAATTGTGTCTGTAATATTACTTTTTGTAATTTTTAAGACACAAATAATGGCTTCATGAGTCCTTCCTCTCCTATAAAAAGGCTAATAACTTTTCCACACTCAAATTCATTAACTTGCGATTTTTTTTTGAATGATGCAGTAAAGAAAAGTTAAAGATTGTCACTATGCAAAATTGATCATTTTTATATTTCTTTTCTGATGTTTGAAGACATTGGATTATCATTTGTATTTAAAAGAAAATAATTTGCTATTCAGTTATTATTTGTTTTAACCATCAATTAATTCCAAAGTTAGGCATTCAGGATCAAATAATACCTCACATTGGGTCTATCTCAACATTCCGAACCCAATTTCCCGAAAATCCAACATCCTGACAATCCAACATCCCAACAGTTCAAATCCTAACAATCCAATTTCCGACAATCTAATTTCCTGTCAATTCAACTTTTCGTCAACCTAACATCACGGCAATCTAATCCTGACAATCTAACATCCCGACATACCCAATTTTCCGCCAAATCCAATTTCCAAACATAAACCAGAAATTGACCTAGCTTTTTTGGGAAGTTGGGATGAATTAGGTTTAAATTTTGAGAAGTTAAATTGTCAGGATGTTAAATTGTCAGGAAAACGGGTGCCAGGATGTTGGGCAGCACCACTCACATTAATTTGTGTCTCCCGTTCTCTCAAGATTATTATAAGTTGTTGCGAATACAGAGAATATATAATCTTAAAATTTTCATCAAGGAAGATATAATTCGGGATAGGGATAAAGTTTATACTATTGTATTTAGTGAAGTCTTTTTATTAAATATATTTAGAATTACTTTTTATTAATATGGTGCAGGACATCTATACGCAACATTATATTGGAATCTTTGAATCCCTAAAACTTTTTTACAGAGATATTATTTTCAAATTCTGATCAGTAATTTGTTTTTCATAATAAGCTCTTAAAAATGACATCTCTGTAAAAAGTTTAGAGATTCAAAGATTCCAATAATATGTTGAGTATAGGTGTCCTGCATCAGATTATATTTCAATTACATGTTTTGTATAAAAGTTATAATTGATAACTTAAGATGCAATCGGACGTGATGATTCGTAATGCCTTAATCAGAATGTCAAATAAACTGATATGCAAAAAATAACAATAGAAACTGTAACAAAATTTACGAATAAAATAAATAACATATGGACGTTCCAGTATACTAGTTTATTTATAATTCTTTATTTATTATTTCTATTGAGCTTTCAGCTAGTGTTCGTTATTTAACTCAAATTGAGTAATAAGTTCAAATTCAGCAAATTATTATTATTAAAGGAGATACAGCTGCATCTCTCTATAACTACATTCCATATAAGAACTGGATTTTGAGAACCATTGAATTAGTATAAATATTAAAAATCATTTCTTTATAAGAACTAATATTTTGATTTTCTCTCCACTATGCTCTTATAGAGAAGTGAGATCACATAAATAAAAATACTGATTTATCTTCTCAACTTTAATACTTATTTCCCTATTATCTTTTTAATAAAATATTCAAAATTTTAAAATACATATAAATGCTAAAAATACAATTAATTATTTCGAATTGAATATCAATTTATAAAAATCGTAATTACATATATATTTTTTCAAAATAGCTCAAATCCTTTATTAGAAACGTTTTAAATTTGATCTAAGTTCATGCAATATTTTTCAAATTTGTGCTATGACGATTCATGATAAGCGTTTTTGTGGGAGTATTAATTTCATGAAATAATTAGCATCGTGATTCATTTAGCAAGTCTTCAATGTTCTTAAGAGATATAAAGGTAGATAACTATAAATTTTGCAGAATAATATCACATACTTAAAAATAAGAAATTTTCTGTATCAAGTATAAATATGATATATTTATACATAAATAAATTATCTAACAAGTAGCAAAAGGAAACTTTAGAACAATTTACAAAATAAGATTACATAGTTATGAGTAGAATAATGAAGTAAATTTATCATTATACGAATCGATAGATGTAAATGTGAAATCATTATACAATTCAATGAAAATTAAATATTAACTAATAAGCTAATTTTTGTTTTCTAATAAATTCAAATTTTTCAAAAATGATAGTCAAAGCTACACATGATATAATTGTGTTAAATGATAAAAATAAAGATGACATATAAAAAATAGTAGCATAAACTAATAAAATTCACCGATTAAATATTAAAATAAGGTATATTTTAAAAAGACAGTGCGTCAAAAAGTTACATATTTGATTGTTAACACCTTAAGATGCCATCGCAAAATGTAATTACATAATAAATATTCAATTATATATCCTATGAAAATATTGTTTACGGACAAATCAGATCACTTAGATATAAACTGACTTTCCGGTAGTAAGTACATCGAAAGGAAATCAATTTTGTAGGCACTAATTATTAGATTTTCTTATTTTCACAGAATTTTGTCCCAAAATTAAACCATAATTTCGTCTTTACACAACTGATGTTAATTCCGTAATGTATTTATATGTCATGTATTTGTATACAGTAATGCACTGTCCTGTGAAAATTTTTAATTACCACTTTATTCATTTATATTAAGGACAATGATAAAATGTTTTTAGTTAGTGGGCAAATGAATACTTTTTATTAACAATGTATATTTGATTTAATTAAAGGCACATTTTCTCGATTACTTTGAATTGTTAGGAGTATACGTAAATAATAAAAAAATATAGCTTAAAAAGGAAATTATATATCGATATACATATATTTATTAAATAAAATTTATATAAAAAAAGATCCCTCCTAGAGATGGGCAAATGCGCGCATAGTACATCACTATGCGTACTATGCGCATAGTATATACATGCATAATAATCTACAACGTCCGACCTGCTTTTATACATGTACATAAAAAAATCAACTTTAAACACCGATTATCGTTATAGCACACCCATGCATCCAATTTTATTATACATGCACTTCATTTATTGAAACGTCTAATTTTCTAGATTTAGGAGTTTCTTAAAGCACGACAAGCCGTTTAGCCAATTTAGTCGCATATCTGTCACACATTTGCTCTGTATCACATGATTAGAAAATAAACAATCAATACCCCTAATATAACTTATATAACTTAAAACTACATGTTTATATTTTAATAAAAAAAGTTTCTTGCGAAATCTTACATACTCCCGTATCATAATTGGACATAATCCCGATACCCAACATCTGACGTCCAAAATTCTGACTTACCAAAATTTCAAAATATCAAACTCCCGAAATACCAAAATTTCAAACATTCAAAATCCTTACCAGGACATTTCCGCTCACGTATCTGCCTCTTTCCAGAAATTGTGATACATGTATCATAAAACCGTATGGATATATCAACCGACTACAGTAACGATCTTCATGTTGGGAAAGATTAAGGAATTACGGGGATTTATTGTTACTTCGGTAACAATGGTTCAGAAAATATGGCCGTTCGGATAATTTTGTCCAACACTGTATGTAATTAATTCGTGAATAAGTCACTTTGCTTTCTCACAAAAGCTTGCTTTTTTTGTATTGTATTTGTATGCATCTTTCGTTTAACATATTAAACGAATAGAAGAATCTTCAAAAAAATTTCTAAACAAAAAAGTTGAGCGCTATATTAAGAATTTTTTATCAGATTGTGAATCTTTACAACAGTTTTGAATCCATTTTTTTCAATATAAAAATTAGTTTCACTGCGAGAATTTCATGAAGAATAACGGCAATTTTTTCAAAACTCTTTACAGCTTCATCCGAACACAACTTTGCTTCGTACTTTTCGGTGATATAAATACTTACGTTCAGTTGATTCGCAAGGGATGGAACTGGCGAGAGAAGGACAGAAAATTCTTGTGGTTTATCGATTAATTTTCCCTTACACGCAATTAAATAAAAAGATCCACATGAGGCCGCAGTCAATATTACCATGTTTGTATCATATTTTGCTCTCAATTATTATGGGTAACGATTCCATGATTCCATTTCGAAACTTTTTAACATAGTTTGACAAGGCCAAGACCATAAAAAGCAGATGTTGACAATAGTATTTTGTCCTCTCCCAGCAAATTTTTTCTTTGACGCGTTTGTGAAATAAAGCTACCAATCATCATCTTCAAATTGTTCCCCTGTTCAATACTGTTTAATTTTCTGCATCGCCTTCAAAGCGACTTAGAATGCGCGAATAAAAACATTTATAAAATATCCTAGATGCTCATAATGACAATTTCGAACTTTTTCAATGGTTTCTTCACCACAATGGCGTCCTAAAATTTTAAATAATGCTTGAGAACATAATGACACGAAGAATCAAAATTTACTATATTAATTTGCTCTCCAAAAATTGGAATTTTGCTCTTTCTTCACAGTTTGCTATAAGAATATTAGCTTTTTCGATTATGAAAAATTATATTATTTATTATTTTACATGATCTATTGAAAAATTGTTATTTTCCATACCTGGAAAATTTAGATTATGTTTAGTGATTACATTAACAAGTAATGTGAGATATTTGTTTAAATTAAAAGAAGCTTATGTAATTGTAATGGTAATTTTATTTTTTGAATTTAAATTATTATTTTAAACCTTACCTTTGCCCTTGATTGCTCAAGCTCCGTGAAAGACTGGCAAAGGTGAACCCACTTTGTGTAAATCATTCAGTCTACAAATTTTACACGGATACAGTATCACATGTAAAAATTCAACTGACATCGGTCAACGGATTTTACTAAGCTACTTAGATCAGCTTTAATTTCTTTGGTCAAACGTGATGATCTGAACTTGCATGAAGTCGGCCTTTGGAAAAAGGTATTTGAATGACCTCCCAAGCGGCAGATGCAGGCGAGATTGATCTTTAACGATTCCAGACAAAAAATTGGACACATTACATTTATGCATAAAACTGTTTATCATTGATTAGAATTCCATTAATTTTATAAAAGATTATGCATATACTAAAACTTTGTACAGATTACCAGAAAGTGAAGAACATAAGGTTACCTTGCACCAAGTCGTAATGATTCTTCAATTTTTTGCAGAATCAGGCCTTAAAATTATTGACTGGATTAAAAAGCAAGTAAGTCAAGAGAAAATATTATTAGTAACATCCGTAACATCTGCTTAAGCCACTTGTAATTTGCAATTGGTTTATATAAAGCCTTGTAATGCAATGTTTTCTGTAATCTGTAATAGAAATTTCAAAATAGAATCATAACAAAAATAAAACCTCTGGAAATAATAATGCGACCTTTTAATTACCGTATTTTGTGGAATATAAGCAACATCCCTGTATTGATTTTTACCCTCTTCAATAGAAACACATGATTATATACCCTATTTTTTATTGTTAATCTTTAAAGTTAACGTAAATAAATATAACGATGAATTTAAATTTTAAATTTCTTAAATATAGATTCCAGTGTATCACATTCGATGACCAATTAAAATTAATTCTCAACGAAGCAGCTGATCGAAAAGTTTGGCACTATTTTTTTTAGGTTCAAAAAACAGGGTAAAGAACCAATACGGGGATGTTGTATATATCGATATTCCGCAAAATGTTTTACAAACTATCTCTCGTTACACTAACTTGAGAATTGAGAGACGGGCTTGTCGAATCCGCATGCTGCGTACTAAAAAAATAAAAGTAATAACTTAATTCTTGATTTAAAGCCTCGATTATTATTGCTTGATTTTAATGTTTGCAAAAATTATTTAGTATTTCTAATTTGGATCATGTTTTTTGACATTCTCCGGGTGATGTTGGCCGAAACTATAACATAATTTATCAAAATTTTGCATGTTTGGCCTTGATATTAGTCAAAATTATGTAATTAATGTCAAAAAAAATTATTTATTAATCATGTGATTATAAGTAAGCCAAACGGGTTAACGGATAATATTCGTAACAGTGTTCACATCGTTTAGATCTCTAGTATACACTACTGCATTACAGGAAAGTCAAAAAAATAGTAACAGTAAAATAAAACTGGCAGCAACGAACATGGGGAGAAATTGAAAAAAACTTCATGTAGCTCGTTAGGGGTTTCTCCCCCCAAGAGTTAGCAAATAAAAATGTTTTGCTTAATGAAAATACCGTATTGACGCTAAAAACGTTTATTTATAAAGGTTTTCGTAATTTAACTGTAATGGTGGTATAATATTTGAGATAACATTCCAAAGTAATTTTGTTCTTGAGTTATAGCGATAATCACATAGGTTAATATTCATATTTGTTTCGCATGTGCCAAAGAATATAATTATAAAAGATTCTATTCTTTTTAACATTCTATAAGTAAAAAAATCTCATTATATACCCACACACTGTACATTGAAATATACTTAAATATTACGATATAGTGCACGCGCCAACATGTAGTATATAGATCAAAATTTAAGTGACTATCAAAGTTTTTGAGTAGAGAAACTGAATGTAAGGAGGCCAATGAATAATATAGCTCAAAAAAATTAATGTTATTATCAAATCACAGGCAAATTTAAATTAATTATGTCATTTCATTTGTGTTTTATGTCCTGTACTGACACATTAAAGTACGTATATGTATTGCATTAACGTTAAGAATCAGCTTCTAAATTTAGCAAACTCTAATTTATTTTTTCACTTTTTATCTGAGAACAGGACATTGTTCTAAATTATTTATATACAAAACTGCTTGAAAGTTTAAATATGAAACTAAAATGAAATAGTATTGGTATGACATGAAAATACTGTACTACTTATCTACAGTAATATGAAAATGATCACGTTAATACATTATGTCTTGCACATGATATCCTTATTTTTAACATCACGCAAATGAGAATGAAACGGCATTCCTTTTCAGTTCTATTTGATTTGTACCATTTCTCCTTATAAATTAATTATTAAGAAAGAATCTAAGTCGGTACGTGTATATCCATGTAATATAGAGTTAAGATTATGTATAAATAATCTTTGGTGAGAAATCTGTTTGCAGTACTCCTTTTGAAAATGCGTTTCTTTCAATGTAGATCTCTTGTTTTCTTGAAGAGAACGGTGTTGCAATTTTTACTTGAATCAATTCCCGAACGTTCTCTCGAGCCAAAATATTTACGTTTTATTAAATTAATTTTTTCTTTTGCTATTTATCTTGGGTGCCTTGCATATCTTATTTACCTTGCGTTCGGAATCAAATATGAAAACCCAAATCTTGAAATAGCGATAAAGGAGGTCAAAAATATTCCTGCTCCATGTTTGTCATACAAAATTCTTTTTTATGCGTTTTTTTTTTGAAAGCATTAATCTCTTTCTACTCCATAGTAATCAATGTTACATCGCCTTTTAACTTTACGATGAAATGTGACTTTTACAGTAACTGTGTGTATACTAGCATCGGATTCACTTCAAGTAAAATATTTAGAATTAACCAATATTATTAATTATTATTTATTTATCAGTTGGTCAAATTATAACGAGCGATGGAGTCGAATGTTCAAGTTTCATACAACCAACATATAAAAATGATGCTAACTTGTACGTTGGATACTGGAACAATTCAATCCAAAGAAATGTCCCCCCAGTGATAATGAATAATATCGGAATATCCAATATCATTGTTCAGTTTTTTGTAAAACAGAAGGATTTACAAACTACTCATCTTATTGAGTCAGAACCCGTAAATAATAATTCAATGATAATTTCATTTTCTGATGCCGGTAATTGTTTTAAGAATTTGCCAATTTTACATTGCCAGTTCTGCATTTCACTAAAAAAATCTGTTGTGAAATTAAAGGGACAGAAAACATCAATTTCGCGTCTCCAGCACTTAAAGAAGCAATTGATTTGGGAAACACTTATATTTTGTCACCAAAGCAGGTAAACTCAAGATTTTCTCTGCTTTTGCTATTTTACATGTATTAAGTGAGCCTGCTTATTCATTCATTGATTCCAAAAAGAAATATCTCTTATGGTTTTGGCGAATTCAAAAGAAAGATCTCGATCTGCGTAACTGGAAAGATAAAGTTGGTTTTAAAAGCAAAACAAATGACTATTACATAATTGAAACACTTATACGTAAGATATTTTTCATTATTTGATTATTACGTGTAATTGTTTATCCTTATTACAATGTATTATCTTTTAAAATATAGAAAATGCCAATCCTATAAACACAACAAATTTTCCATTTTCGATTGTTGATATCAGATATCAAACACGCTTCGTTGAAGTAGATACGGAGACAAAGTAAATATGCGAGCAATATTATCATTAAAAAAATTTTCTCTATTGATTAAAGCTTTATTTTTTTTCACATTGCAAAAAATTTCAAAGACAAAACACGGTAAGTCCCTTTTCATTCCTGTAAATGATTTTAACATGTAGCATTCTTTTTAAAATCTTTCTTGATCATTAAGATCCTCGCTTTATTAAGCAGTCTTGGAGGAGCATATGGTATTGGTATAACTATCTATTGCTTTTGCTTTGGTATAGATCATATTTAAGTTTTATATGTATGTTTGAGTTCTATCTATACATACCAGCTAGATTTTAACTTAATTGTTTAGGCACACAGCAAATAGGTCCATGGGGGATGGCTTATGAAGTTTACGGGGTTCGTAATAGTCTCAAACAAAGGGTTAAAGAGAAATTTCAGTCTCATTTTCCACTTGTAGAAATAAAATATCCTGACGATATTAGTGACGAAGATATAACATTGGGAAATATTAGCCAACGATTACATAATTTGGAGTGGCAAAATGCGTTACTTCAATTGCTGATTAGAGAATACGTAATCGACATCGGAAATTTTGCCGAGTTAAAGAAATCAATAGATAAAAAAAGGCAGACAGAGGTGTGAATTAGTCATTCAATTTACTAATTATCCCTTAATTTAAATCTGTATTCCTGACAAAATTGTCTGGAATTTTTAAAATACTAAAATGCTATATAATGGTTAATGTTTGTACACTCATTGTAGCCATTTCATTAAGATTGTTAAAGATTGTCATTATTTGTGACATTACACAGAAAAATTGGTACAGAATGATGCGAAAGGAAAAGGCCAATTGGAATTATTATCGTTAAATGATACAAGTGAAGGGATATTCAATTGTAATAAACTTCAATTTATGAATTTTATCGCACTTCCTATTCTGATAAAAATCGAGTTCATCCTAACGTTATTCTTGTACATGATCGGGAAGATTGGTTGTAGGAATATTGTATTGTCGAGAAGATGGGTGTCGGGATGTTGGGTAGGTGATGCCCATTATGAATACATGTATAGTTTGGAGGTCATATTACATAGTCAAAGACATCATGGACTGCGTCGGTTCATTATTTCAAATCCATTATATTGGCGGCGACTTACTGTTTTGAACTTCAAGATTAGTGTCCGTTATAACGAACTGTAACTGTGCACATACCGCAGTAATGCTAATCGTTGTGAAAACAATTTTACGCTATTCTATATCATCTGAAGATCATGGGTAAGCGGATTCGGAAAAATATGGACTTAGTGTCGTACTTGAAGAAACTTAATATGGTAATATTATACACGTAATTTGAGTCATACAATACTCAGCTCAGTTTTCTATTTGTACATTTGTAAGAAAAGACGTCGCTAATTACATGTGGTTTAAGTTTAATGATAAAAAACTTGGCAATCGTCCTTTTAATTTTCCCATTAAACATCCTCAAACCATTACAGATTTTCGTCCACTTTTAAAGGTAGAAGCCAAGCAATCAACATTAAACTTTTCTCCAAGACTTTTGACTGCTGTGACCGCTTTCCAACTTCAAAGCTGGTTTCATCGGAGAAAATATTTTCGCTTAATCATAAACTGATTTATTTTCTTCACATAATATAATATGAGTATATGCATGTGTTTCCGAGATATAGGATTTCTTTGCTATGATACGTGAGTTAAGTCCGGAGTTGTGTAATACATTCGGTTAATAAATTACAAGTGAGGTTTAAATAGTTGACTGTTTCGCGTAGTGGTGTACGTCTTTTTCGTTTGCTTCACATATAAGTAAATCATTTTCGTGGGTCTGTGGTCTTCCTGAACGTGGTTATTTTTCACTTTTTTCTGTTCGTTAATAAGCGATGTACCATTTTGGAGTCACGTCCAAACATTTTTGCAATTTGAGCGGCATTTTTGGCTTCCATATATGCCAAATTCTTCCCTTTTTCAATTTCGTTAGCTGCGTATAGGCGGATGTCATTGCTTAACCTAACGAAATTATAGTGTTGACGAAGTTGTAGCAGGTAAGCAAAGTGATTGTTATCAAAAGAAAAAACTTTGTTAAATCGATTTTTGAAAAAATGGTTACACACGTAAATCGGGTATTGTACATGCATACATGTTCATTTTACATATCGATATCCTTTTTGGTGCGAATAACGAAAAAAGATAAAAAAATATTGCTATCATTATAACGATATGTCATTGTTAGAACAAAATTTGACTGTAACTAATTAAACGTGCACTGTCATATAATTTCTCATTTTAAATTATTGCATTTTAATTTCTAATGACTCGGTCATCATTTTTCGTTAGCTAAAAGGGAGATGGGCAACAGAACCTGAAAATAATCAAAAAATCGAATCCGAAGAAAAATGGCCACCAGAACCTGAAATAAACTATAAGAATTTTTCGGTTCTTCGAATTTGGTTTTTAAGAATTAATTATTTTACTTAATATAAAGACCGATTTAATGAACGGTTTCTGTACATTATGAAGTTTTGTTGGCTTCTCATGAAGATGGTGATTAATATCTTCACCACTTCCTTTGGCGCATACAAAGCACACACCGATGGATATGAAAATCTACACTTTGGAATTATACATAATTTACATTGTTACTTGCGCTATGCGTACATGGATTTTTCAACAAAGAACGGTGGGATGGCGTCTGGTTATATACCATCTTTAATATGATGAATGTAATTTTGGGTTTCTTATTATTAACGGTCGTTATATTTCTGAACTTGGATCGTTCAATTTCTGAACTTGGATCGTTCAATTTATTATTGGAGATATTTGAGAAAGAACTCGTTGGTCGCAGCCTCTATGTTCTTTATAATAACCCTTTTAGTAACATTATTTATTGTACCATTTGCTGTTTAGCACTCTTTCTCAGTCGCTCTGACGTTGGGACCAATCTATCAGAATCTCGACAACTTGTTTCACGAAGATAATCTCGAAATCGCGAAAAACGTCATCAGTTTTGCAGGATTCACA